ATATATATATAGTATATCTAACTGGAGCATGTTTTATTATGAAATATAAAAAAGAGTAAATCATAATCTTTAGATTATAGATAAAAAATAATTAATATTAAAACTTAATTTAGACACTCACTTACAAGATTATTATAATTATTGTCAACAATTATCAATCACCACCATCCATCAGCATAACTATTACTATTGTCACTGATAATAATGGTAGTGGTGACGACAACAGTAATAATGGTAGTATTAGTGACACCGTTACTACACACCACCATCGTTGCAATTGTCACTACACCATTGTCGACATCGCCACGTGGCAGCATTGAAGGTGGTGATGGTTGCAACCACAACTACAACCATAGTGGTAATGATTGTTGTAGCGGTAGGTGATAATGATGTTGATAGTTGTAGAGATAACAATAATAATAATTTTGTAGAAAAATGTATATGATTGAGTTTTAATCTTAACAATAGTTATTTTTATCTATAATTTAAAAATTATAATTTACTCCTCTTCTCTCTTATAATAAGACATACTCTCATCGGATACGTTTTCATAAAAATAATATATATGCACAATTGTAGATTAAAAATTTAATAACTAATAATCAAGATAAGATTAAATATTAATAATATATATAATACAATTTTAAATGAATTACAATCTCGACTCTTAACTTTCTAAGTAATGATTATTATCCTTTATCTTCTAAAATTTATTCTCGTTAATCTAGTGGAGTCCAAATTCCACTTAAATAGAAACAAAAGTGAAAATTTTGAAACAAGAGCATGCAATATATATAATTGTAATTTACTCTTCCCTCCTTTATGTGTTCTCTCTATTATGAGCTAGCTACTTACGTCTCATCTAAACTTATTATTGTATTTGATTTTTTTTAGAATAACTGAAAATTGTAAAGTAGTTATTAGCTAGATTATCAGAGGAGATAGCTCGTGAGACGTGGGAGTAACGTTTTGTAGGAAACCTTGTTATTATGTAATGTATGGGCATGGTTTTTGGTTCGGTCTCACGGGAATCCAACCACCCCTCTCACGTGTTCCTTTCTCTCTCTGGGTTGGACCTGCCTGTTTTTCAGCGTGCGTAGAACCATACAACACAAGACTTGGTCGGTGGTTCGGTTCCATCTCTAATTTGTTGCCCACCTAGCTAGCTAGCTATGATCAATCACACATGTTGCAACTTACAACACAACAATCACAATAAATAATAGTTGTTTCTATATTTGCCCACTTTATTGTCAAAACTCAAAACTATGCATACTACTATTAGAAATGAGCCTGACACAGTAGTTTTAATAAATATATGTTTCGTACATATATTTCAAAGTTACATTAAATTTTAGTTTCTAAGTAATCCATTTTAATTTGCAACAGTATTTGGGTTCTCGGAATTGTAAAAGACTTCACAAAAACCGCAGGAAAAGCCAAACTAGGATATATAAACAGAAGAATAATCTTTCTTTTATAAGTTGATATCCATAAATCTATTGTATCATTAACTATTCAATCATTCTTCTTGAATCATTTGTAGATGTTTAATCACGTTAATTTCATATTCAAAATGTTTAATTTTTTTTATATAAACATATGTGTTGAAGATGCAACATCTCTTCTATAAAATAGTGTTTATGAACATATGTGTTGAAGATCTAACATCTTTTCTAAGATAATTTTTTATTTTATAAACTAATTTTATAAAATCAAGTTAAATTTATAATCTATTCTCTTGAAATGAATAGCCGGCAATCTGAGACCTGGGGTGGCTTGTGCTTGTGGTGCATAGTTATCTCAAAGTAAATCTCTTTTTTCTACTGCACGTTATGCTTTAGATCTCCTGGTTCCCAGAAAGGTATTCCACTCTATCAACTAAGCTACAACAAGACAAGCAGGTAAATGGTTGATCACGACCGTTAAAGTCCTGTTATAGATTGGGTATCTTTGCAGTTATAAGGGTTTTCACAATCGTACTTCCTTCCATATGTCAGACTCAAATATAGAAACAGACGTCAAGCAGACTGGATTGAATTGAAATCAGTTCTTCCTCTCTCTTCCTTCTTTTTCTTCCTTTTTTAATACTTGTGGAGCAAAAGAAACTAAGGTGTCTGTGTTTGTGTGTAGTCTATTCTATTGGTACTTGTATCATTCCATGATTTTTTCCACTTTAAAATTTAAAAACCAAAGACATAATCTATGAGTTCAATAAATTAATCACCTTTCCACTTGTAACTGAACAAGACTTTTCTAGGGGTTGTACTACTTTTACTCAATCTGCTGTTCAATTAAGTGGCACAAAAGGGTTGTGGTAGGGGCGGGCCAGATCGATGCACATCACATATGCTATATCATTGATAATGGAGCAGAACTAGTTAGAGTGCAATTAACTAAAGCTAATGATGCTAATTAGATTAGAGGGATGGCTAAGAAAATATTACACGTGTGAGCTTTTATTTGGGATTCTTCATGGAAAAGTAATCTTTGGTGCAGTTAATCTTTGGTTCAAAAGGGACGTTTCAAAGAAAGAAATAGACAAGCTGTTGGCAGTGTACAGAGCACCCAGTGCTGTTGTACTGCTGTTGTTATGTTTCCCTTTACTCACTCAGTTCTCTCTTCCTCATCCTACGTACCATCCTCTCTACTCCTACTGCCCCTATCATTTGTTGCTCTAGCTGGTTCCAATTGTAGCTTATATATATATATTCTTATATATTACTCTGTAGCTCATGTACCATCTTAATAATTAAATATCCCTCCCGTTTCATTCTTCATTTATGCCTAGCCTCATTTTCCTTGTTGGTTCCTGCATTATATTTATCACTCAACTGCTGTAATGAGAGAAACAAGTAACTAACACTGGATTGCAGGCTCTATAGGGGTTGTTAATGCCATGTTCGAAGACAATATCCGGAGGGTTGAGTTAAGATATCGGTTACGCTTAATTGTTAGGAAAATTTAATATATGCCTCAAACTTATTCCTATATAAATGTTGCTGATGTACCTGCTTTTTTGGTACATTTATACGTGCTGGTTACGAAATCAGTTGCGAGAACATTTAATTTTTGAGAGTTAAAGTCAACATAATTTTGGTCCACTTAAAATGTTTGTGGCTAGGAATTTTACAATAGTGGACAAACACAAGTGTCAAAATCCACGTATATATAACTTAAAAGAGAAAGGAAAGACCTGCATGTATGACGAAAAAGTTTGTTAAACATGTCCCAGCTGAGAAGGGAAAGTTAGGTTTTCTCATAAAAATTATTTTTGACACTCAAAAACCTATTTGCCATCTACTTAAAGAAATAAAAGCAAAATACTGTATATACAAATATAATAAGGAATATGATATAATAAAAAATAATTAAATATTTAAAAATAATATGTCCAAAAATCGTTTCTCTTTAATTTTTTGTTAGGAAACACAAAATAATTATACTGGTGCTAGGATTTGGACATTAATTAGCAGACAGCAGTAGATGATTAAACTTATTACCCATTGTCATTCAACTCGATTACCCGTTGTCACTCATCAAACTCCAATACACGTCTTCCATTATTATTTAATAATCATATTAAAGGACTTGTTCTCAGTCTAATAGTTTTGTTGTAGTAGTGGATCACTTATACTGACACAACTGTTTTGGATCATCCTCTCACACCCCCTTTTTCTCTCTCTCTCTAGTATATATATATCACACTACCGACTGTTTTTATTCTAGTGACATCTGTGCCCTTCTACCTCTCTCTCCTCCATACAATTATGTGTGTAGAGACACAGCTTTCTTTATTCCATTAGATCTGAAAAAGACCAGTTACCCAACCTCATACATCATTTTGCTAATTCCCAATCACCCTCTCTTTGATGAGGATCACAGGTGCCCATCAAACACCCAAGATCTTCCCTTCTTTCCTTCCTTCCTTCAACTTATCTTCCTCATGCATGAAATCATTCAATTGGTGAGTATCTTTGCCTCTGCAAAAGGAAACTGAAAAACCTTTCCCACCCCACAACTCCTTAATTTTCTTCATCTCTCACCACTTTTTCTCTCTCTCAAACCATGTCACCCGATGAGACACCACCTTCAAAGCCCGCCACAACAAAGGACCACGAGACTCAAGGTTCTGGTGGGAGGAAAAGCTCCTCCACAAGGCCTCAAGAGCAAGGTCTGAAGTGTCCACGTTGTGACTCACCCAACACCAAATTCTGCTACTACAACAACTACAGCCTCACGCAGCCTAGGCACTTCTGCAAGACGTGTAGAAGATACTGGACAAAAGGAGGTGCTTTGCGTAACGTCCCTATTGGTGGTGGATGCAGGAAGAACAAGAAGGTGAAGTCATCAAGGCTCTCATGTGACTCCAAGGACTCTGGTTCCTCCTCTTCAGACCTAGGTGGCCTCAAGTTCCTTCACACTCTCTCTCCCTCCATGGACTTTCACCTTGGTGGCTTACCCTTCCCTAGGCTGCACCATCACCCTCCAACTCCAACTCCAACCACTTATAACCATTTCTCTTCTTTTGGTGACACTTCTAGTGCCTCTTCATGTTTCAACCTTGACCCTTCTCCTGGCACCTCAAATTCTTTGGCTGCAATGAACTACCCCTTTTCTTACAATGGTGCAGTCCAAGGCATGAGCTCTATGAACGTTCACAGTCACACTAGCCTTGCTTCCTCCATCGAGTCTTTGAGTTCCATAAACCAGGACTTGCACTGGAAGCTGCAGCAGCAGCGTTTGGCAATGCTGTTTGGAGGAGATAGCAGCCAGAAAGATAGCGTTAATAACCAGGTTGAGAACCAGACACAGAAGCCCCAACCCATTATGTTTCAGAATCTTGAGATTTCAAAGCCAGGCATTAATTTCCAAGTTGGGAACTCAAGAAAAGAACAAGGTCCAAGTGGGGACACGCCATCAACCGAGTGGTTCTTTGGGAATTCTTATGCCTCGGTGGCTCCTACAGCTACTACTACTACTACAAACAGTAGCGGTGGCCCAGGGAATGATAATGTGAGCAATTGGGGTAGCGGTGTTCATGCTTGGGGTGATGTGCCGCAGCAATATAGCGCTTTGCCCTAGCTAGATGTGAAGCACGAGGAAGGATATGATATGATAAAGATTAAAGAAGAGGACTAAGAGGTAGAGTGGTAGATCTTTTCTTTATAACTTTTGGAAGAAATTAATAGGCCAACTCTGATATTAATTGTCTTAAACTCTTTAGGTATATGGTAGTTATGTCACTCACTCACTCTTGTTCTTTACGTTGCCTTCAAACGAACATATATGTAATGTAACAGATGGGAAAGTTACGTTAAGACCATAATGTGTTCATATACTCTTCGATTTCAGCTAGATGCTCATCAATTGTCTAAATTCTTATTTCTTAATTAATATTGGATGGTACGTTGTGTGCCCTTCATTACTTTGCTCCATTATTGCAGATCAATTCGAACTACCTGTCTTCCTTTATCTGTTTCCTCCCTTTCCTATTCAAAAAATTATTAACGCGTCATTCAATTTTGTTCTCTTTTAAATATTATACTCTTTTAGTTAGTTATTTTACCACAAGAAATGTCACTTAAAATATTTTAATTAAAGAACAAGAACTTAGACATCACTAGGAAAAATAGTGACAAAATAATTTATACATAACTTTTAAAAATTTGACACTAATATTATTGTGATATAGTATTATCGATGAATGAGCAATTTATCACTAATACATACTTTTTTTTGAAATTTTTGTAGTGCTTACAAAAGAGAAAAATGGTGATTTTAATTTCAAAACTGATGGGCAGTCTGTGCTTCCTTTCTTGTACTCTCCATATATCATGCATACATAATATGTTACTTCAATGGACTGGCTTTAAAACTGTCCACGATTATTTTAAAGATCTTACTTATTATAGTCTTCAAAACATTGATTAAAAATTATGATAAGTTACAATAAAGAATATGCAAATATATTGTTTAATAAAAAAAATTCCAACTTTGGATTTCTTAATTAGTAGCTTTAGGAACTTGTTAACATTCTTTATTTTTTTTAAACCAAGGCGGATTTTAATTAATTTCGATGGAATTGGAGTGGTGCCTGTATTCTTTCTCCTCTAATCATGGTGTTCTCAAGCTTTGGCTATTGTAAAGAGTAGTATAATGTTACCGTTTCCCTGAATGTGTCATTGGGATCTGTGATGGAATTGATTTGGCCTGTTGTGAATTTAAAATGGGGGAGAATTTAATGCCATATATCTTTGATTTGTTTTATGTTCAGTTGATATCCAAAACTTAAACAACACCACACCAGTGCCTCAGTGTGTCCCTCTCACACTCTCTCTCTCTCTGTGTATCAGAGAACTGAGTCTCAGGCTCTTCAGCTACTGATCAAACGCTACACAAAACACGCAGTGGCTGGGCGTAGCTTGCGCTGCTTGGCCTCTTGTTAGCCCTGCCTTGTAGGCCTGTTCTCTCTCACTCTCTTTAATTTCTCTTAAGACTATTCGTAATTATTGTTGCAGTGTGGTGTGATTTGGTGGTGTCTGAAAAAGTGGTGGTTTGAAAGTGAATTGAATGAAACACTGTCAACGTTTGAATAAGAGACATAAAAATATGGCATCTAAAGCTTAGGGTTCCATTTTTTTGGTGCATAAAAATAAAAGTTATGTTTAGCTTTATAGAGTGTTGGAGAGTGAGCCCTTGCATCCGTGCTATTTGCCACTGACCATCAACTCTCATTGCTATATACTGTATCATGTACAGACACAGTGAGAGAGAGAGAGAGTGAGCATTGCTTTTTTCTTCTTTATTCTTCACTTTCACTGTTTGCGCGAAAAAACTCAGACCCCACAATTGCTGAAAAGATTACCATTATATGCTCTTCCCCACCTTTATCCCACTCATCATATCAAATATGTGTGCATGCAAAGTGCACTATCTTCCCTACTTATGTTAAACTTATTTAGTGAAATGTGCAATGTGCATGTCTCGTACATCAGGAAATAATAAATATAAGCCTTCAATTCTTGTAACAAGTATTCTTCTTAATACCAACATTCCTTTGGCTCTTAATAAAAACAGAAAACGTACGCAACTTTGGTTGCATACCCCTTGCGCCCCCACAAAACTATTTCGCCTTTTATGCACATTAATTATATATAATTTCTATCTTCAAAAGAATGAAAAGATTATTCTCGACTGTCTAATATATTTATATATATGATGATTAGACAACATTTCTTTTTTCCTTTTTTTTTAATCACATTCGTACAAATAAATGGCACTTTTTTCTTATACAGGACTCTTTAATTTAATTTCAAGTAAAACATTACATGCCAAGGAACTATCAGGGTCATACAAGAATAAAGATAGTAGAGCTCAACCTTTTAAGTCTACTAACAAAAAAATTAATTTTATTATTTATTTTTGTAAAATAAAAGACCGGATATATTAATATAAAAAAATTCTACATATAGTTTATTTCATTTAAAGTAAAAATAAATCTTAAATTTTGGTTTAAGTCTTACTTATGGGTTAAAATAGGTTAGATCACACAAGTCGATAACAAACTTGAGTTTGACTTGCAACAAGATTATTGAGATCAAGTTTTGTTGTTTATTTCTCATATGCTCAGCCTAATTTGACCTAAAAATTTGTTCATGTGACATGTTTTATACATGATATATAACTAGGCCAATAAATCTGATTAGGCTAAAAGACTTATATTAAATATATTATTAATTATATATTAAATATAAATATTAATTAATATATAATACTAATTTATAATTTTTAAATAGATTGACTTATCAAGTTTATTATATATTTTTAAAAATAAAATATAAAGTCTAGCCTTTTTAAATAAAATGATTTTTGAAAAATTGAAGTTTAGTTTTTTTTTTTTTTGTTGTTGATAAAATCAAATGAAATCAAAATATTGCATAACCTATTTCCACTCTTGCTCATTGTTGAGCCAACCAACTAGAAGCTTTATTTTGTAAATATAATTTATAAATATGTGGATTGGGTTTGTTCATGAGTCACGCGCAAGAGAAGCAGAGAATGGGGAAAGGAAGAGGGAAATGAATTAGAAGATGAATGTGCGTGATTAACGTGATAAAGTTGGAGAGAGACACTTTTGTTGAACTGCTGTGTGTAGCAAACCGTCATTTTACAACTTACAAGTGCAAGAAGCTCATGACATATATGAGGGGAAAAAAGGAAAACAAAAAAACAAGCTATATATATATTCTCTGCTTCTCATCATTCTCTTCCTTATCCTACACCCAATCGTCTGGTCCCACCATCATTCATCAATCGATGGTTTTCCCGGCTAAACCAACTTGTGCAATCATATGCAAGACCAGAAATTAACATAAAGGAAGATACACATTTAGTTATATCTTGCTGAAGGAGTTGGCCCCACATCATGAAAAATCAAGATTCAAATATCTACTCAAAGAACTGCTCGCATTAGTTTAAAATTTAATCTTGACACAAACAAGATTGGTTTTGTTATGATATAGAAGATGATCACAAAAAAATCAAGTGATTATCTAGGTGCAAAACACTAATGATTATATATATATATATATATATATATATATATATTAATTTATCTATAAATGGTGAAAAAATTAAGCTTATGCATGTACTATTAATTTTTTTTTTTTTTTTTGTGTTGAGGAAATATATATATATATAAGAGAGTTATCTTTCTAACATAATTAAATATCTTATTTTTATGTCTCAATCTTTCAAATAATGTGGTATCATTGATATCAATAAATTATAAGTTAGTCATCATTATTATTATCATAATTATTGTGTGATTCTTGAAAATTATATTGGAGCAAATATTTATTTACTATAATTTAAGGAAATCTTAATTAGACATGTTATCAACATGTTACTCAATCAACTCATGTGCCTCAAAAATATATAATGGATAAAATACTTAAATGATATACTGATCAATAAAATACTTAAATAACACATTTGTCGATAAAATACCTAAATGTTATATTAATTAGGAAAAATATCATAATGATACACTTGCCTACCAATCCAAATATCAAAACATAAAGAGACTTAATTATTGTTTGGAAATGAGACATGATCGACAAAATATCTAGATGGTATATTAGGCAACAAAATATTGGAATGGTACAATTTTTTAAAAAATACATATATACTTGAAAAAGAAAACGTTCATAGAAGAACAAGAAATTTTCTAGATCATTTGATAATGTTTTATAGTTTTCAAAAAATCACCATCACGCACAGTATTCTCATCTGCATGTGCTTTGAATTCTATTAACATTAATAGATCACTTATAATTCATACAATGAACTTATATAATACTGTTTCCAATATGTATTATTTTTTATTTTTCTTTATCGCATCAATCATATATCATCCCATCTAGTTCTCTCTTTCTTTATTTTATAACGTTTTATATAAAAAGAAAATGTACCGATACAATTTCTCTAATAATGTCAATGATTTTCATGAGCATCATATACATACAAGGTCGTGGGATGTCTCGTGACCCAAGTTAAATAGTTGGTTTCTACTTTCTATTATATAATTGTAGACTTTATTCCTAGCTAATTCTATTATAGTAAATTAGCTAGTTTCAAGCTTTGATGTTTGCTTTTGTTTGAAACTTTTGGTATTTAAAAACTACTTTGAAGATCTGCCGCACGAGTTAATCAACTAAGTAGATTGAGGGGATTTTCTTAACAAAAAGACCAAGTTCTATTAACACATATTTTTTTATTCATATAGCTCAAACATAAAATTTATTTTAAAAAGTCAACCTTTTATCGCTCGGATAAAAATAACATATCTCTTTATTTATATATAGCATGTATTTTAAAACAAATAAAAACTATATAAAATTAATTAATATTGAAGGATAGTTAGTGGTTAATAACAACTTTTTTTACATAATTATAAAGGATAAAATGAGATATAATATAAAAGTTACAAGGATAAATTTATTTAAAAATTGTGTATTTGAAAAGAGGATATATTATTATTATTATTTCTAAATATACTAGAAAAATTTGATAAAAAAAGGATACTAGAAAATTCATCCTATTCGAATTAATTAATTAAAAGAAACGAAAAGGAAATCCACAAGTACTTCAAAGCAAAAATTAATGAATCAAAAAATTGTTCGAGGAATTTCATAATTAATGTTTCCTAATTAATATATTTAAAAGTAATTATTTGTATATAAAGAAATATTAATTATGTGTATAATCCAAATTAAAAAATATTTGATTTAATATATCATCTGGTCCTGAGATTTTTAATAAGCCTCTAAACTAAAAAATAATAATAATACTTGAGTCCTTCATATTTTTATATTTTTTTCCTTCCAAGTTAGATGTGAAATTTAATAAAATATATTTAAATTTTCATATCCAAAGAACAATATTATATTATTATTTCATATTATTATAATGTGTATACAATTTTAATCTATACTCATTAAAATTTCAGAACTTTTTGATTAGGGAGATTACAAGATTTTTTACATATAAGAATTAAAAGCTAATAAACATGTATAATGACATAAAATAATAATTTGATATGGCTATTCACATATAATGATATATCTATCTATTTGAATACAGTCTAGAAAGAATTGTGAAAAATTCTCTACTAAAAATTAAGAATATTTTCTAGTAGAGAAACTCATATATATATATTAGAAGGGACAGTCAATTTGAAACTTTGTATTTCTTTAAACAGATATATTAAATTTTGTTAAAATTAAATAATAATAATAAAATATAATTAAACTATTTATATTTTAATATATTTTTAAAAATATGTATTATTTTAATTTT